GCGGTGGCTCAAGCCCAACGGCCTCTGCCAGATTGCACACATTGCACTCTGCATGCTTGAGCTGCAGAGTGGGGGGAGTGCGTGTGAATAGCTGGAGCCCTTAAGAGCCGGTTGCCCCGGTGCGTGCCCCCATGTCTGGTAGCTGTGCTCGTACCTATCCAGCTTGGGCGGTGTGTGGGCAGAACTTGGTGAATCACAGATAACAATATCTATAAGTGTCGATGTCTGTTTGTTTCAACAAACAATTACCTTCTCCAGGGGTCTCCACCGATTCGCACGCATCACCGTCGGATTCTTCGAGAAAAACTGCCCAAGTGACCGGAACACTGCGCAGTGGCGCAGCAATTCCAGCACCATGAAGAAGCGCGCGTCTCATTTTGCCTCGGAGAGTCTTGGACCCCTCGAGGAAAAAGACCAGCTGCGGCTGCGCTCTTTGCACAAATGAAAGTTTGCTCATCTTGCCTCTGCGCCTAGTCATGCACGACTTCTGCATCCATTTCCCATGCTTGTTGTTTGCGTTTGTCGCACTATGTCGCTGTTGGGCAGCATAGTATCTTTTGAACCTAAAACATGTGCAGGAAGCTGTCAAGAGTTGGGAAGTCTCTCATTTGTATTCATCTCTACACATGAACTTCGATCTGAGGCACTCGGAGCGGCTCACCGCCTCCTCGTCGCGTCCGGGACGCACGGACAGGGCCATTCTGGCCACGGACAGGGCCACGAGCAACGAACAACGACGCCGCGACATGGCTCCTGAGCTGCGTGGTGCGGAAAACATCACGAACGAATGCAGGATGGCTTGTGTGGCTGGGGATGATTGCGTTAGTTTCTGCGCTGGGGAACATGTGTGGTGAAGACCGCTCCCATGAAAATTCCTTAAGATTGCCAAAGAAGCAAAGCATCAGCAAACAAAGCCTTGCCACTAGCCTTGCCTCTTTGGGTGAATGTGGACGAAAAGCTGCAGACTTGGCAAGAAAAAGAAACTGCAGTAGCTTCATGGACTTATTCAGTCCTCGGACTTTGTGGATTTCTTCAGTCACGGGGAGGTGACTTTGTGATTTCCCCTTGGAAGGGCTGGACTCATAGGACTTGCTTCACAAAGGAATTTTTCATGCTGCCTTCAGTGGTTTCCACATCCCTTGTCACCAGCCTAGGAGTATGAGATTATTCATATAATACAAACTAGGAGTATGATACAATATACAATTAACATAAATAAAATAGATTCAATAAAAGTTAGGGCCCTGTCTGCCTACCCTTCTCCCATCTTCTCCCTTCTCCTGCCACACAGTGGAACTGACCACGGATTTCCACTGCGAACGATGAACGGCTGATTGCTGGCTGAGGCGCCAGAATGTGTTCACAAAACACGACAACGCTGTGCAGCTGAGCCGTTGCTTTCAATGGCTACAGTGTGGAGTGCGGTTTGATGATATGTTATGGCATGTCATGGCCATGTATCATCCATAAACACGAGCAGCAAAACGATATACAAGAGCTGCAGGGGGGCAGTGGGCATGCTTGTGCCACATGAATGGGCTTGATTGGTTTCTAGACAATACTGGTACCATCTGATACCCCAAGAAAATCTATTCGTGGCCGACTTGGGTCTATGTCCTTTGTGGACAAGGGGATGAGTAGGAATCGGATTAGCCCTGCAAAGTACTTCAGGAGTCCTAGGCTCCCCAACCATCCACAGTGGGAGATATTGAAGCCTTGAATGGATTCATCATCCAACTACAATACAACCTCGGCACCCCCGTTTTCATGAAACTCCCAGCTACAACCTCGGCAGCGACGGTCGGGTCGTCGCATGTCGTCGCACCGTCATCGATGTCGTCGATGTCGCCCTGCCCCCTTCAACAGCAGCCCTCCCCAAGCTCGATCTATATAGCTTTTACACACCAAATGGGGGGGGGGTTGATATCTCATCAAACGTCTACATGCCTCAATCCGTTGGAGAACTAGCTGCACAGACCGCCCCCGCCCCTTCTGGCTCTGCTTCCCGTCGGCTCAGGGCGCAACGATTCGAGTCTCGGCATCCGGAGCGCGCGCCGTTGGAGCAAAGGCGAACATGTCCACGCCAGCCCTGGCGAGGGTGCAGGTGGATCAACACATCCAGTCGGCACGTACCCCAAGGGTTCGAGGCTGGTGAGCGTCGTACCCCATGTTTCCTGCAGGTTGGCGACCAACTTTGCCGTGTGGAACACTCCCTCCCAGGGATGACCACTCACGTACCAGGGATGACAAGAACTGGAAAACCATGGAAAAAACATATCCTGGAAAAGGGCCCAAAACGAACCTTTCCGGGTATCGTTCGTCTCTTCCCTTTCTGTTAGTAGAAACAAGTGCATCGCTACGAGTAACAAGTGCCTTACTAGTAGTAACAAGGACGCTATTAATTTACTTTAAATTTAATTCTAATAGCTTTTTGTTACTACTAGTAAGGCACTTGTTACTACTAGCGTGGCACCTGTTACTACTAGGGCCCAAAACGAACCTTTCCGGGCGTCGTTCGTCTCTTCCCTTTCTGTTGAATGACCTACGTACAAGATTGGGGGGGGATGACGAAGCCTCCGCAGGGAGCGACAGGTCTAGCCAGCTGGCACCGTAATTATACGAGGATCTCTGACGTCTTTCAGGCCCGGGTCTATCCCCCAACCAACAAACAACTGGAGAATAGCTATGCTGACATGTTTCATGACGAAAAACTCCCCGAAGGCACCAAAAATGTGCCGATTTCGTTGAACAAAGAACGTGTTCTTCATGAGTCCAACTGGTTCACTCCAGTCGATCATCCACATGTTTTGGATGACTCTGCGTTGAGGTCATCTCTCGGAAGGCTCCAGTCGGCTGGCCTGCCGACTGGAGCCTTCGCAAATTGACGCACCACCTCAACTGAATCCAATCCGAGCGGTCTGTCCAAAAAAGCATGCAAGGGAGCACAGGATGTTGTTCTCCTGAGTGCGCAAAGCATGCAAGTTGACGACATCCACAGGTTTCGGTATGCAGTGATGCATCTGAGAAGCCTGAGGCAACAAAATGCATCCTCAGGATTGTACCTGGTACACCATGAACTGGTAAGCCAAGTTTTGCCAACCATGATGGCTTCACAGTGTGTACCCGGTAGAGGATACAACTCTGACCAGTCATACCTAGGATGCAAGTTTTTCAGCTCAAGCTGTCAACGGAAACCTAACTCCTGTGCAGCTTTCAGTTGGCTGGCGGCTGCCACACACAACCAAAATACATCTTCCATTCATGTTCATTCACTCACATGAGAGTTAAACCATGCATCACCATGCTGCTCAGTTGAAGTTACAATGAAGAAGCTTCCGTGGGTACCCTGTGAACCAGGCGCTTCTCGTATTCCGTGGGTCCGCTCCAAGGTACGGTGTGAGACCGTCTTCCCAAAGAGCCAAAACACCCTTTGATGGCTCCAAAAGAAGTGGCTTTCACTTCGAACAGGCCGAGTCTCGGCGTTTCCCCCGGAACAAAACACCTATAACGACCAAAAGGAGCCCGTCTCCAGCATCAGCTCGGCCCGAAGATCGAACTTTTCTGCAAGGAGACTTGCTTTCCGATCCGAAGAGATCATCCGAAGATCACCTGATCTTCATTGATCTTCTAAGATCACTGAAGATGCGGTGGCGCACCGCGGGTTTCTCACCGTCCTTTGGTTTGGTCCACCCGGTCCCTCCCTCTCGGCGCCCCGGGCGGTTTCATCCAACCTGTCAGGGAATGAAAGAAACACTGGAGGACCTTCTTCGGTTCTGCCTTCGGTTCAGCCACAGCTCGTGGTGACAGCCCAAATGCTCCAACCAGTGGGGACCGCCACCGATTTCATGTCGAGTGGCCAGCGAAATCCAGCGACACACGGGCTATGCGTGCTATGTATGCCCATAGAAGTCCCCATGCATGGTCCGAAATATTGGGCGTCACATGCACAACCCCTCGTTCTTACACAGGAAAACATCTCGAGCACACAGGATGGTGAGAGAAGCCTGTAGAGTAGCCCGCGCGTTTAGGAAGGGAGTACGAAAAGAAGCATTTCGAACATTCCGAACCTTTTTCATCCTTTTGCCCTTCCTCGTCTTTGGCCCTGACTTAAGCAACATGAAATAGAACTACTTCAAAGCCCTTTGTGGACTGTTCATTTCACTGCCAGGTGGGTACATGGCATGCCACCATGCCTTATAGGTCAAACATGTCCAGAATTCTTTCCACTATCGACATGAACATATCATGGACATGAATAAGACAAAGCTCATGTCCACCAAGACTGTACAATACTTTCACCAGCAAGACTTTTATTTCATTTCTTTAACTTCTGAACAAGACGTTCATTTCACCAACAAGTGCAGAATGTACAGCCCGGACACCTGTCACCAGTGGCTGGAAAGGCTTCTTCACCTCGGCGGCGAGACGCTGCGAATGACTCCAGAACATTCCAAATCTTCCTTGGAACCTGATGGAGCCGTACACCTACAAGTCGAAAGACCTAGTAAAACAAGGTCTTTATATACATAATTGCTTGAGTGGTGTTTTCACGAGTTTTTGTTGTGTCCCAACTACGCCGTTTTAAACGATTTCATTTCTTTCCAAGGTTGACTCTCGTAGCTACGGTAGTCTGCACACA